CAATACTATCCAGAACACTTCCGGTGTCCGAATACTATCATCCAATATATCAATCTTTACCTCTCGACCATTTTGAGACTCCTCATCATGTCAGTGATCTCATCCGGGACTCCGAACAACATTCGGTCACCAAATCACATAACTCATATAATATTAAATCATCATCGAACGTTAAGCGTGCGGACCCTACGGGTTCGAGAACTATGTAGACATGACCGAGAAACCTCTCCGGTCAATAACCAACAGCCGAACCTGGATACTCATATTGGTTCCTTCTACGAAGATCTTTATCGGTCAAACCGTAATGACAACATACGTTATTCCATTTGTCATCGGTATGTTACTTGCCCGAGATTCGATCGTCGGTATCTTCATACCTAGTTCAATCTCATTACCGACAAGTCTCTTTACTCGTTCCGTAATACATCATCTTGCAACTAACTCATTAGTCACTTTGCTTGCAAGGTTTCTTATGATGTGCATTACCGAGGGGGCCTAGAGATGCCTCTCCGATACTCGGAGTGACAAATCCTAATCTCGATCTATGCCAACCTGAGAAACACCTTCGGAGATACCTGTAGATCATCTTTATAATCACTCAGTTATGTTGTGACGATTGATAGCACACAAGGCATTCCTCCGGTATCCGGGAGTTGCATAATCTCATAGTCGAAGGAATATGTATTTGACATGAAGAAAGCAATAGCAATAAAACTGAACGAATAATATGCTATGCTAATGGATGAGTCTTGTTCATCACATCATTCTCCTAATGATGCGATCATGTTCATCAAATAACAATACATATCTATGGTTAGAAAACTTAACCATCTTTGATTAACGAGCTAGTCTAGTAGAGGCTTACTAGGCACACGGTGTTTTGTCTATGTATCCACACATGTATCAAGTTTCCGATTAATACAATTCTAACATGAATAATAAACATTTATTATGATATAAAGAAATATAAAATAATAACTTTATTATTGCCTCTAGGACATATTTCATTCACTATTTTGATGGCGACATCGATGGAACGTGACCGACATGAGTGGCCACGGTGACTTGGTTCCCACAATGGGCCAATTATGGCTCGATCCGGTTGGATATATCACTGGGTCTGACAGTGAAAATATGATGTTACCAAGTCTGCAAAGCCTTGCGATGGTCCTTCATGGGCCTACTTTTTAACTCTTGTGGAGTTCTCAAGAAGGAGAAGTTGGGCCACAACACCATTATCAACGATTTAGCTATAAAGAATAAAAGTGAATTAAGGCGGACTGGTTGAAGCCGCACCAATCCATTCATTTCATACTGGGGGAGCCCGTCCAGATTCCGTCCTTTAATGACTCCGGAAGAAGCATGGCCAAACTCTATACAAGCTCAGGGGCTATTAACAGTGTATGATTTTTAGAGGATTGGAGTTCTTATGAATTTTTTCTATGTTAATCGTTCGAATCATGTGGCAGCATGCATCGCCCAGATGCAGAGGCCGCGGGTCATTCTCCTTTTTTAAAAAAAGGTCGTTCAAATCATGAGATTGAATCCTATAGAATTTTTTCCCTAAGGATTCATTTCCACTACATTGCAAGAAAATCTAACCTCTACTCAAATCTCTTTAAAAAATCATTTATGTTTTCCTACGATGCAATTAAAACGGGCTCAAATTCTATAGGAATCAAATGGGCGACATTCCAATCGTGTGTTTTTATTATTCTTGTGTTTTCACAGTCCCACGAATCAAAGAGGCCCTAAGCTGGACATCGAGTAAAGCCATCACCACATTTTTTGTTTCCTGCATTTGGCCGTGAATATATACCTCCTCTCCCTTTTCTCCTTCGGGAAAAGGCAAAAGCTTTGCGTTCCGCTGCACTGATAGAAAGAAGAGTGTGTACAAGCCCTACACCCATCAACCTTTTAGATTCTGTATATAGATGCTTTTGGCCAAACCGAACCCAGCTGTTAATTTTGGGCTTCCCTGTGGCACTTTGCACACACACATGACACTATTTACCCAAGATGTAGTACAGTTGAGCTGAGGCGATACGCGTGCCGTGGCATCATCATGTAGAAGACAAGGGACGGAAGGTGATGAAAGGCGTGCGGGCATTGATTCGATTGGTCAAACTGAAACGTGGTCAGTTCACAGCTCAAATCAGGTCAGTTTGAACGGCACTGTAGGGATCGCCTGAACGAATAAAAAGCCGCCCCTCTGCCCCAAAAGAAAGAGCAACAAACAGCGCCACCACACCGCCCTTCCTGCTGCTGCTGCTGCTGCTAGCTTAGGATCAGTCCAATCAATCACTCTCCAGTGACATCGATTGACACCTCCAGAAACTGTTTTTTTATTTGTTTTGACCCCCTTTCCCTCCTCTTCTTTAGGGCACCTCCAAAGGCAATCACCAAAACGCCAACAAATATTCGAATAACATTACCCGGATATCTTTTGGCCTCCAACGCCAGGCATTAAATGTCTATGAAATGGCAATAATCCTAGACATACAGGGCTTTACGGGGTTTACGGGCAACCCAGTTTGTAATTCGTCAAAAATCTCTCTGCCCCCTTGATTTCAGGTGGAGGGTCATCCGTCAACTAATAGCATGTCTCCAAATCACCTCATCAGTAATTTTTGTAGAAACAACCCGTATATGTAGCATTACTCATGAAATGGTCTAGACGTTTGATATCTTTTGGCTTGCCCCTCTAGTTTGGGGTCTGGTGGGTTTTTTTCTTTTGAGAAAATTTTCGATTTATTCATCTTCTTTTTTTTTGGAAAAACTTTCAATCTATTCATCTTCAATCATGGTAGTACAACGGACACTAGAAATAATAAAAAATACATCCAGAACCGTAGACCACTTAGCGACGACTACAAGCACAGAAGCAAGCCGAAGGCGCGCCGCTGTCATCGCCCCTCCCTCGTCAGAGCCGGGCAAACATTGTTGTAGTAGACAGTCGGGAAGTCATCGTGCTAAGGCCTCATGGAACCAACGCACCACAACAGCAACCGCCGCAGATGAAGAGTGTAGATCAAAAGGATCCAACCTGAAGACACATGAACAAAGACGAACAACGAACAGATCCGAGCAAATCCATCAAAGACAGTCCGCCGGAGACACACCTCCACACGCCCATCAATGATGCTACACGCATCACCGGATGGCAGTACAACGAACAACAGAAATAACGAAAATATCTAGATTCGTAAACCACCTAGCGACGACTACAAGCACTGAAGCGAGCCGAACGCATCGCCGTCATTGCCCCTCCCCTCGCGGGAGCTGAGAAAAACTTGTTGTAGTAGACAGTCGGGAAGTATTCGTGTTAAGGTCCCATAGGACCAACGCACCAGAACAGCTACTGCCGCCGATTAAGAGTAGCATAGATTAGAAGGATCCAACCTGAAAACACATGAACGTAAACGAACTATGATCAGATCTCTCTCTCTCTCTCTCTCTCTCTC